CAGACTAAATTGACTTATGCAGCTCAACATGCTGATTATTTATACATGGCGTCCGATGTTTGCTTCTTGGTGTTGCAAGCTTCGTGGCAAACTTAATATACCCTGCTCAGGTTATAATTAATCGTATATTTATCACTGATCATATATCTGGAATAATAATCGTTTTTAAGTATTTTTCAAATCCAATACAATAGTTAGGTAGTGCAGAATAGTTTAATTGCTACAGATTCTCGAATCATTGACAAAACATTCCTGAAAAATAAATCAAAACTTCCATTAGTGTAACCAACCTAGAAGTTCTTAGTTATATACCATGAGATTAAATTTGAACTGGATTGGTACAACCTGAGCATTAGCTCAGGAGCTTATTTTGAAGTCGATTGTAAAGATTTATATTAAAACAAGTGAAAATGTTGTTGTTTTTATTTTTTCAGTCCGGTCCACATTTGATCAGATGGTATGAACCATTCATAAAGCTAAGAAACAAAAGGAACGTTCGTCTCTTAATGCTCTACGCGCTACCATAGGTTATAAACTCCGCTAGATGGTCGAAATACTGTTATGAATGTATTTGTTAGACCATTTTGTCTGAAATTAAAGATGTATAGTAAAAGGAAAGCGTTACAAACTTTTAGAAAATCATTCCGTTAGGTGCCACTAGGAGCGAAATATTACTAAAACTCATATTTATAGTTCTCGATCTAGTTCATTATAAATATATTTATACACAAGTGTACAAGACTTACGCTTATAGAGAATATTTTCGTTAAATGGGGCCATAGTCGACTTTTTACAAGTATTTATTACCCATTGTCCCACTTCCTTGGTGGACTGCAAATCAATAGGAATGATGAGTCAAATATCACAATTCGCTACGATCAGTATCACAACTACATACGACCTGATCGTGGATACCTCAACGTGTATTTAAAATTCGACTGAAAGCGCCGGAAATATATCTGCATTAATGGAAAGGTAAAATTAGGACAGATGACACTATTACTTGACATAATAGCATTATTAATTTCTGGTTAAGAATCTTAAGTGTAGCATTGTTTTGGGGGTAAAAATCAAAAGTGCACTCTAAGCTCAAAATAATGACATTTGAGTTTGGTGAAAGCAGATGAGGCCGGCTATAGTAAAAATGTCATTCACTTTACTCTGTTATTTTTACTTAAAAATATTTTTTTCACATATACATATGTAAATGGCGACATGTTAGCTGACATTCATGAAACAGCAGATTTCCAAACCACCTATATGTATTTGCTAACTGCAATCCATATGAAACCCTTACGTAGTGTATACCCACTTCAGAGGTCTTAAATATACATATAATCAAAGACTACTTTGAATGAAACTCTCCTCTGTACTCTTTTATATTTAATAATTCAATCTCTAGTTATTTTACTAGCTACATCATTATAGTGTTTAACATTACAACTCTGGTTATACAAGTATATTTTAAATGTATAATATTTTCAAAAACTCCGCCCTCACTATTGACCTACCACGAATTGAGCTCAAAATTCAATTTAACTGATTGCACTTAAGGAGCAATAATTCAATGGCCCCATTGAGACTTTCATACCTTTGAAAAGATAAAGTAGCTGCCATTTCACTCGGCAACATGTGTCACACACTTCGATTTACTCCTCTTGAATTTATTTCGCCAACTCAATGTGCTGACTGCATCTAAATTTATATGCGAGTATATATATTTCAGGTGTATATTTGTACGCTTTCAAGCAGAAAATGGGGGCACATGAAAGGCGTCATTACGAATTCATGCATTATCTTTCTCTCAGGGGCTGACAATCTAAATGAGAGCGTGATCGTCAAGTGTCTCTGCTAGCTTACTTGTCACATGCATCATGTCAAACACACGACATATGTATATATGTATGTGTGTTTATTTGGTAAAATGAATGGGTATTAATAAGCTGCGGCTATTTAAATAGAAAATTTGTTTGCTCATCGTAATTAAAGTAATTTTTATACGATTCTATTAAATAGCACGTAGCCAAGAGCCTTAAGGCAAAATAATTTTAACAGGTTGTTTTTAGAAACAGTAATTTTTCGGTAAAAATTGTGGAAGTAAATCAACGTATCAATATAATTTCCATAAAAATTTAGCAACCGAGTTTAGATAAAGAGCATGATCTAGTCTAAGAAGTTGTATACGTGCCAATCAGAGTTGCGGATTTTTTAATTAAAAAAATTTTGTTTCAAGATTAAATTTTTATTTTGTAATAGTGTTGCTGGGATTCAAAATTAAATATGCATTTCTTAATCCAAAATGGATTCGGATTAAAAATTGAAAATATTATTTTTTGAAAATCTTATTTTAATACTTGAATACATACATATATGCTTAAGATTAAAATTTTTATTTTTATTTTTCAATTCGATAAATTTTTGATCCGATTTTTGAGCAAATTTATCTGCTTATCAATAAATTAATAATACCATACACATGTTTTAGTAAAGTGTTTGAAGACGTCAATATACATTAATAAAATTAACCGTAAGGCGTATGGAATAAAAGTAAATACAAACAGTAAGAATGACATCTGCTGATCTTTAACATGTATACGTATATAAATATGCATATATGTTTACACAAAAGCTTGCAAAACTATTCCTCATATTAAAATAACAACTGTTCCGTCACCGTTTAATGCTAACAACAGTATTAGCACAAGCCAAAGATAGTGGGTTGGTTGACGTCACAAACATGGGAGAAAAGTTTCCTTCAACATCACATAACTAAAAATAGAATATAACCACTAGACAAAATAAGGAAACAAGGATACAACGTACAACCGCTTACAGGTAACGGGAGATTATTTTGTTAGCAGTGCGAAAAGTAGTGTGAAAAGGTTGCTCTGTAAGCCTTTGACACTTAAAATAGTGACCATAAAATTTGTTGTAGAAGCACAAAAATAAAATGGTTTTAGTACATCCTGAACAGCATATATTGTATTTAGTTTGTCACGAAGTTTATAACACACAGAAGGAAACTTCGTGACTAGCTGAGTCGAATTAGCCACGCCCTAAGTTTTTGAAATATCGATTTGAAAATTTGTACATGTCATTTGCTCAGATCGGACCACTATAGCATATAGCTGTGATCCAAACTGATCTTTTTATGTCCTTTTATGCTATTAAAATCCACCTATGAAGGGTATTATAGCTCTGATGCTGCCGAAATTAAAATTGTTTCTTGTTTTTTAGTTTAATGGGAATAATATTTTTATACTTGAATAAAAATTATTCTTGAATAAAAGTGCGATTGGATCTGAATTTTTGGGAGCAAAATTTAATTAGAATTTGTTTAAATAGGTAGAATTGATTAACTAATTGATTAAATTAGGGAATATTAGCTGAGACACACACCAAAGTAAGTTATGTAAAAAAATTCTGTACAAAAAAATTAGTCAGGTTCCATCAAATTACAAATTTTGAACTCGGAAGTAAGTCTAGTAATGCCTTGATTAATTACTCAATTGCCACTTCTTAAGCTATGCAAAGATATTTTTCTAATTGAGTAAATTAGGGCATATTAGCCGAGACACATACCGATATTAAAAATAAAATAACATTGGGCCCGCAGTTGACAGTTTTGTGTGCGGAAGTTAGTGCAAAACTGTCTGAAAGGTATTCCTAAGCCCAGGTTTTGCTTATTACAATATTTTACACTATATTACATATATTCCTTACTTTAAAATAGATATCGATCGCAAATTAATTTTCAAGAATTTCCTTTTATAATTTTTGGATATTAAAAATAATTATATAGGAACTAAGAGAATATTTATCAAAAATAATTTTTTTGATTAGTAATAATTATCCATATAAGCTTATCTGATACCGAAAAGGGCGTATTGTCTTGGTAAGAGACTATATGTTTTATCGACAGAGTTCCCACGCCACGATTGCATTAGATATTGGTGATTACTCATACAGCTGTTTTTTAGCGGAATTAAGAAAGACGAATAAAATAAATGAGAAGTTCGTTTATTAAATATGGTTTTATGGCATTCTTAGACAAATTTGTTAACACAATTTTTGGAAGTTTCACACTTTTACCATAGCGCCATCTATCTGTCATAACTTTTAAATGCGTCTTTAAATCTTTTGGACTCAAAAACATTTCTCAATTAAAATAATGTTTTCATTATAATTAATTAAACTATTTCTAAAATTTTATCGTGAAAAATAATTTTGAAGAAAATATTAGTTTAATCAATAAGAAATACAATATATCAAGAAATATAAATATATATTTTTATAAGAAATACCTGATGACGAAGACCAAAAAATACCGTGGTCAACCAATAATCGCATTTTTGCTCTACAATACCTTTATTGTAAGTATATGTGTAAGTGCATATATTATTTATACTTAATTTCTAAGAAAACTTAAATATTTACAATATAAAGCATAATGCTTAAAAAGTAACTGAATTCCCCCAAAAAAAAAACATGCATTAACAAAATTTAACTCACGTGGGCCGCCTTGGGTTAATCATATAAACACACTTTGCATTATGTATACAGACAACCGCAAACACACATAACAAGTTGTCTATATATATATGATTAAGACATTTTACTATACAATGGGTTATAAGTAAGGAGCTTTTGTAAATTTAATTCATAAAACTCACAAATGCCCGCAACCCCTGTGCGATAACCTCTCATATCGTATGTACGCCGCACAGTATGCTATGCATATTGAAGTGCACCTAACCCTACTTACTCGACAATCAGCCGATTTGACACGAAGCGCTTGTGAAAGCTTTCGCCGCCAAGGTACACGCACGCACACACACACACACACAAATACTTACATACATGTTGGGTGAGTATTGTGCTGGAGCTTTTCCATGCTGTACTGGTTCATATATGTATATTTCAACCGGTCGGCAAGGATTTTCGCCCTTCTGCTCGTGACATGATAACGACGTCGGCGCTAGCATATGACGACAGTCGACAGGTGTTGGCTAATGCCGAGTGACGCTACAAATGTTCAGTTATTCAGCGTACGCGTACGTGTTCGGTTCGTCAGTTGTATTCGCGGAAAATCCTTTTAAGTGCGATAATATAAAAGCGAAGTGTTAAGTGTGACAATTTTTAGAAATAACATACCTCTCCCTCTTGTCTCCCACAAATAGAAACTTTCGGTTTGTTTGCTTGTTGCTGCGTGAATATGCGTATGTGTGTGTGTATTTGTGTGCGTGACTGTTTTTGGCAATATACGATAAAAAAAGAACTTTGCTTATGAGATGCAGGCATACTATATATGTATATGTATATGTGTATGAGTGTAAGAGAAAGTAGATGTATTTAGAAATATGTTGCTGTGTGTGTCTGTTTTTTCACAATTATGTACAAGAAGAAGAAACGAATTATTAACGCATATTTCAAAACTTTTGATTTTATTTATATTTGATATATATGTATATATTTTACTAGTAAAGGTCTGATAAAGCTTAAGTTTCTAAGCCGTTTCAAATAAAATGTGAACGTTAAAAAAATTAATTTCTCGAAGACATTAAATTTAGTAAATGAGGGATAAGTTTTAGGTATATTTCACAGTTAAGTGTTTTAAACAATAAAAACAGGCTATGTTCAGTATTCCAGGCATGATATAATTGGTTGTAATAACTTAAACACAGTAAATAAACTAGTCAAAGTATTTTAAAAATTTATTTGTGCAGCAAATACTTTTCAAATATCTTTTCCTTTTATACCATTATTTAATATTATGTTATAAATTTGTTTTGGCAACCCTTATCAAAATATCTCAAACAGTTATCTTTCTTAAACACGCTTAGTTTCATACACATATTACTCTTCAAGATCTATTAAATAGAAATTATTTTAAGATTTTGTTTAACATATTAAAATGATCCGAATTAGATCAAATATGCACCGTTTTGTTAGATATATTGTTGATATTTTGAAGAAAATTGTATAGTGGCACTCTCATTGAAACCCTGGCCTCTATTAGCAAAAATCTGAGACAATCGATTTTCTCCAGCTTCTTTTGAGACGAACTTTTCTACCGAAAAATCATTCACTATAGACAGGTGCTGATAGTAATCGCTTGGTGCCAGGTCTAAGCTATAAGGTGAAGGCATAATAAAATCCTGACCAAATTTGCAGAGCTTCTGGTGAGACACTTTCGATCTGTGTGGTCTCGCGTTGTGTTGATGAAACACAATTCCTCTTTGCCTTCACATTGTCCAATTGTTGATAGTATAGTACCGAATTAAGAGTTTGGTCGTAGAGAAGCAGCTAATGGTAGATTCCCCACCGTTTGTGATTCAGTAGCCATTTGAATATGGAAAATCCATGTCTCTGAGGTTTTTTGCGTTAACTCATGTGGCACCCATACATTGAGGCTTTTTTTTCAAATAGTTTCAAACGCCTTTTTGGGCAATGTTTAGCTCCTGGGCAATCGGAACAATGCATGTGGGGCGAACTCGGGAATTATTATGCTTTAGATTATTTTATTGATATTTTACAACAACTGGGGTCCAGAACGTTTTTTTTAACATCGAAATTGCCAAAACGCAATCGACGAAACCAAAAGTAATTACCTGATTCACTTTTTCACCTTTATCGAAAAAAACTGCATAATAAAACGTATTTTCTTTTTGCTGGTGTACATCTTTGCTGTATGCTCAAACAGTCCTGAATCAAGTAATCACAAAACTGTCGGAGAAGTTTTTTTAGTACGAAATCTAATTTTTCTAAGGCTATATAATTTACTAAGGCCGTATAATGGATTTATTTTTATTAGACCAATTACTTCCTTGTACAGCAAAGACTTTTCAAATACCTTTTTATTTTACTTCTTCTTAAATTAGTAGTTTTTTCTTTTAAATTAGTCAACTGCAAGGTTGACTTATTTCTTTTGTTTACGATATTGATTTGAATGATGCACAAATTCATATAGTTGGCAATTTTGGTCTAAAAATATGATTAACTGAAGAGCGATTTAATGATTAATGATTTCGACACCTAAACTCATCGCGACAGAATGAAGCGAGGTAAAAAATGTAAAAAAAAAGTAAAAAACTCTGATAGAAACTGTAAACAGAATTATTCTCATTCCTTGTTACATGACTTACGACCCAAAAATTTATCGGTTAAACAAAAAGCTTCTTAAAACGTCAGAGTTACAGTATTGAATCATTAGAAAACTGCTATGGAAATAGATGGAATACAAATAACTAAGATATGTTTTTTTCTGTATGCTGATTTTTATTCAAATATTTCTATTAAAATTGCGGTGGAACCTATATATAAAAAAGTCTTTAGATGATGATTTTCACTTTTCTGATTTTTATATCACTGCTAGGTAGGCCAAAAATTTCTTATTTTATGTTATGCTTAATGTTGTATATTATACGTCCTATATATCAGGTGAAAATCAAAGTTAAAAATAATGTTATTGTTAAGGTTAAGTTTGTCACGCAAGTTAATTTAATAAATGTGAGTCTGTATGTATGCCTGTGAGTGAGCGCCTTTTATTTGCTTTATCAGCGTTATCAGCTCGCGCGTGCAAATAATAAGTATTAACTCTCCACACCACTCATATCTGCATATATTATTTTACGCTTTACCCTGCTAAATTTCAAACCATTTCTTTGCCAACATGGTAGATCTGCAATTTAAATTAATAGTTATTGCAATTTTACTCAAAGCTAATCGAAGCTTTACTCTTTCTCTTTTTGCACATTGGCATTTATTATTAATTTTTCTATTTGCGTAGTGAGTTTGCTGCATTTTTGCAGTGCAGTGCAAATATACCGTTGGAAAATGTAAATCTGCCGCCACTTTCATTTGAAAGCAACTAAATGAAAATAATAGATTGGTCTGGCAGAAACAGAAGAGCATATAAAAAGTATTATTTGAGCCGAGAATCAGCATCTTTCGAAGGTAAGTAATATATATTGCATTATAGGTAGATATGTAAAAAAGATTAGGAAGTTGAAATGTAAATGCGAAACTAAAACACTATATGCAACCAGAATAGCAACGGACTGTCAATTTTCAGTTCAGATAATTTAAGTGATATCACGATTACGTGAATGCGATTACCAGTGAATCTTTCGGATCGTGACAGTCTGGAACGTTATTCACTTCATAACCAGTAAATACGCAATCCTGCTCTGTCATACTTCCTAATTTTGCTAAAAACAATGTTAATTATTGTCGAATATTACTTGGCGATAGCAAATCGTATCGTGGTAATCGCCAAATGAATATAAAATTTAATTATTATCTTGCAAAGCGCATTATATTAAGCCAAGCCTATAGTACTTCATATCAAAGGAAGTAGCAAAGCAAAAAATAAAAGAAGCTATACTTTCTGGATTTGTAATTGAGGATGTCTAACTCGGCATCGCAAAGATAATAATATCTAATCTAGATATTTTATGTTATAGGAAATGATGACGCTGCTGAATACTACACGCTAATGCCAAAGTCGCAACGTTATAATAGTGAATTGAGTACAATAGGCGATTAACGTTACCGCGTTATCTTCCTGATAATAAATCGATAAATGATATAATAATTTATTTTAATCGTTTTGATTTGAATTATGATATTATTTAGTAATTTTAAATGTTCTTATATATTGCATGTTAAATATAAAGTGCCCTATATTTTTATACCCTGAACAGGGTATATTAAGTTTGCCACGAAGTTTGTAATACCAAAAAGGAAACGTCGGAGACCCTATAAAATGTATACATGATCAGCATGAAGAGCTGAGTTGATTTAGACATGGCCGTCTGTCTCTACGTCCGTCTGTATATATGCAAACTAGTTCCTCAGTTTTTAAGCTATCGATCTGAAATTTTGCACCTGTTCTTTTCTCACTAAGAAGCTGCTCATTTTTCGGAACGGCCGATATCGGATCGCTATAGCATATATCTGTCATACAAACTGAACAATCGGAAGCAAGTCTTTGTATGTTATTGACGGTGCCGTATACTGCTTAACGATGCCACGTACGTATCGTGATGTATATTTTATCACATTCTTATAATACTGATGTGATTAAGTAACAAAAATATTATACGGATGGTAGATCAGTATAGTAACTATTTACGAATAATTGCCTTCTGGTGTTTAGCGGGTCTTCATTAGGTGACAGAGATGTCCACTCTGGCAATTTGTTTCTGAAGAAAGCAAGAGATTTCATTGCTGTCACAATTACAATTTCGAGGCGAAGTTTTTAACTTTATTCGGTACAAGATATAGATACCGCTATAATAAATAATAAACGTTATAGCTTTAGCGTGACTCTCTACGTCATTAAACCATAAGTAAAAGTTAATCACAATCATTTTTAATTGTTTCTTTAAGTTTTTGTGTTGAAAATAATTTCTTTAACAGTGGCGCTTTCAACGCAATAAGTTTAGAATCTCAACCTAAAATTCAGAGAAAAAATTTTAACTATTTTTCGTAGCGCCAGAATAATAAGGAAAATCATACAAAAAAAATTTATATTAAATTCAGATTTTTGATATTTTCAGTATTCTTAAAAGGAATTTAAATCTTCGAACAACTAATTTCCTTAATAAATTTAATTCAAATGTTCAAATAATTTCGAAGAGATCTTAAATGTTAAATTCCTGCTTTAATTTTCCTTTTTCATGAAATTGTAGTGAAGCTTGATGCCTTGTCATAGAGTTTTATATTACAACCGCGTTATGAAGCCAAATTAGCTGGTAAACAGATATTTGAGTAGCAGCAGCAACAACAACAACAATATCAACAAAAGCATAAAGCAATATAAAATGGTGGTGGTGGTTATAATGGCTGTTTTATGCTCAACAAATTCATATTACGGGTTCGCTGAACATACCTACTTATAATATACAAACAACAAAAAGCGTGCTTATGACACGCGTATTTGGCTTACCTGTTGTGTGTTTGCGATACCTTCTGGCAAATTGTGTGTATATAGTTATTTTTCGTTTTTGTTTTTGTTTTCGTTTTGAGTTCTGTTTGTACACGCTGCCATGCCATCATTGCATAATTTCGTTCGTTAATTAACAGCGTCAATGTTTACGCTCACACATTCACACAAACAGACATGTGTGTTATTTGTTTATTTATATGAAAATTCCCATAAATTATTGTTAGCACAGGATCACAATGAAAATGGTAAACGGCAAAACTGCGGAGGCATCAACTGGTGTGTATTTTGGTGCCCTGTAGGAATGCTTTATGCTTTGAAGGGATATTGCCAGCTTTTATACAAATGTGGGAAGGGCGGCATTTTTGACGGGAATTTGTTGGGTTGTTTCACTTTTTATTTTATAAAAAAGATTTGGTTGTATGATTTTTTCACAATATATACTTTATTAATTTCACTTTCTATTTTATTTTTAAAGAAATTTCACTATTTACACTTTTAATTGCACTTTCTACTTTTTGCTTTTATTTTTTTGTGTATAAATATTTTTTCCATTACTTTGACTATATAATTTTCACTTTAGACTTTTCACTTTATACTTAAGGAGATTTTATTTCACTAATTATGATTTATTAATAACACTTTGCATATTTTTTTTTTTGAGATTTCACTTTGGGCTTCTTATTTTATTACTTAAACCATATTAATTGCACATTCTTTTATATTATAATAACTTCATGTTAGACTTTTTATTTTACTTTTCTTATAAAAATATGCCTGTAAAGAATAAATGAAAAAATATTTGTTAAACAAATTTTTTGTTGAAAAAAAAAATAATAATAAATAATGTCAAATATAAGAAATTTATGCTAAAGAAAATTAAATTTATTTTTATTTTATAATTCATAATAATTTTTTTGAATTCTCGTTAATTTTTTACCCATTTAAATCAGTTGAAATAAAATACTCTAAATGTTAACTCTTAGACATTAAATAATAATAAAAAAGAAAAAAAATTTAATTTTTCCTACAGGGCGTTTGCAAGCGTATGTTGCACCTCATTATTTGTGCTTTTTTCATACCTTTGGTGTGTATTTAATTAGGTCTTCTAATCGTTTATTAAATTTATTAAATTAATTGCAAACACTCTGCTGATATTAGTACTGATTGATGATATTTACTATTGTATTCCTATATAATGAGGATAAACGCATAAAAATGAAATTAATTGATATCAGATAGGATTTAGCCTAGTTTAGTAAATACCCAAGGCAATAGAAGTTGAATTTTCATTTCATCATATTTGCTGGGAGCTAATGTATACCTTATTTTGTAGCAAAAAGTTAAATTATTAAATAAACGAATTAAGTTTTTAGTACAAATATTCGTTTTTATATTATCATTTTTCATTTTCATCATTATAGTTATTAACGAAATTTTTTATTACTACATCGTTTTTTTTTGTTTAATTAAAAGAAAAACTTAAGCTGTGACACCCTGCAAAGGTTCAAGTTTCCTTATAGGAACTTGTTTTTGATCGAACAGTTTGTATGGCAGCTATATGCTGCAGTTGTCCGATCTGAACAATCTTGTCAAATAAACAAGTTTCCCCTATAAGGACTTGATTCCGATTGTTCAGTTTGTATGGCAGCTATAGTGTTCCGATATCGGCGGTTCCGTCAAATGGCCAGCTTCTTCGGAAGAAAGGGACGTGCAAAATCAGATCGATGTCTCTTAACTGAGGGCTTAGTTCGCGGATAGACAGAGGGACAGACGGACATAGCTAAATCGACTTAGCATATGTGCATATGCACATATATATATTGTAGGGTATCTGAGGCTTCCTTCCGGGTGTTACAAACGTCATGGCAAACTTAATATACCCAGGGCATAAAAATACTTCGTGATTACTCCTACACATCGTCGAACTATAGTACAATAAAAGCTTGTTTTTATGAATATCTCTGATTACACAAAAATAATGAATTATTAGTAGAACGGAGTTTAAAAATATTGAAATAAAATTCTTATTACATAATATGTGAAAGTTCATCCATGCAATATTATATCTTAAAAATTCTGCCCTCATTCAGTTCATTTAATACATATTTTATTAACCCTTACTTCCGACTGAAAAATCTAACATCTTTCATTGATATTTATTCGAAAAAAATTCACAATTGAGCTCCTTCAATTTTACTAATCAAATGTGATACAATCAAATATAACCGCCACAACTATTTCTAAAGCTATTGGTTATAACGCAGTTATTTCAAAATCCAAATTCTATCAAAATTTTCAAAATGAACAAAAACTTACCTGAACAAAAAATTTTAGCACAGACAATGGAAATTTTGTAACGAAGCATGCCGAGAATTTCCATTGGGAATGGAGAATTTCGATTGATATGTAGCTGAAGCCAAGGAAATTTTCAAGAAGCAATTACGGCACATAGTCATACGCTCGGAGCATAACGCCCACGAAATTCAATCGAAATCGAAAGCATGTAGCAACTTTCTACAAGTGGAACACTTCAATTAGTCAGGGTGTTGATCGATAGTGTTAATTAACTGTCTGAAGCAATTGAGCGGCGAAAAATTCTATTAGCGCAGAAAAGAAAACTTAAAGTTGAAATCAGTTGGAACATTCTCAGAAAATTAGTATGGATGATGAAATGGAAAGGTTTACAAAAGCATTGCTATTATTGTATTATTTTAGATGAAAATAGAAAGCTGTTGCCGTTTAACATTTCTACAAAGAAAATACCTATATCTTCAATTAAAACTGAACCATTTATTATACACTATATCTGGTACAGAATAGAAAAGTGTGAAAATGTGTATCGAAGGTTACGGGACAAATGAGCAAGTTATCTGTCTAGCACTCGCTTTGATTTGATTTTGAAGCTGCTAATAATATTTTGGTAACTGGGGGTCAAGAGAATACAAAAAGTTCTCTTTGATCATAATTTTTTCATTCATTCTTCATTATTTTGAAACTTTTTTTATAATTGAAGATTTTTAAGTATATATTATCCACTTTCGGAATTTTTAGATAGGTTTAGTATATTTTCGAAAAACTATGCCTCGCTAAGAACCTTAAGAAAGGCTAATTTTAACACTAATTATATTTTGTTTCTTCTTTGAAATGCGTTGTTTGCATTATGTGGTTTCCACTTCGTCATATTTAATAAAGTCGTAGTAAACCACTTTAAAAGTTTTAAATTTTCGCTTTCAGGAAAATTGGCAACGGTGTGTGAACTGTCAAATTTGTGGTTACCTATCAAGTATAGATAATTGAAATACAACAAAGTAGTCCTGTTGTGAGTTTAGCTGATTGTCATCATTAAATTTTAGTCATTTTTCTTTTAACCAGTAATGAGTATTTCTCTACTCCGCATCCCAACTGCAGATATTCTTCACACAAACACATATCTGCATCTAAGGTCCCACTGTCCTACTTAAGGCATGTGTAACATAGTAGGTCAAATGATTGCTTACTCCACTAATGAGTAGCCAAGCTACAGAGTTCCCATATGAAACTCTAAGCAATTTTGTAAAGTAAACATGAGCATGGAACTAGCACTAAACTAGTGAAGGAGATTGACATCACATTCCTTTACTTGCTCTTCCTGATCTTGCATTTCAGTTCTGTAACTGCCTCGGCTTTTTAATATATTTTGTTAATATTAGTTATACGAAAACTACCCACAAAATGACAAGTAACATACCAGTTATATGCTACAACTATTCCAATTCATATTACATGGTTCAAATGCTCAATGAGCACTAAAGTTATGCGCTCGTTCAACTATTACGCTCACGTTGCGACACCATGACAACCTAATGACATTTTACGGTGTTATTTAATGGGTAACAAAGTGACCAACCGGGAGGACGAGCAACAGTAAAAATATATGTTGTAAAATGTTGATATTACATTGCATTGAAACAACGTGGGTCAAAGTTCATCACTACAAGAACAAAAAGTATTGAAAAGAGGTGGTGTGAAGTAAAGGTATACAAGAATGAGAGTACCTATATATACGCTATATACTTGTATGAGCTCATAATGAAAAAGTTTGTCATACTAAAGTGATAGTGTGTTGCCAGAAATAAGAAAATGAGGCAGTAATATTTTTTATGTTCAATATGACAAAACTTTAGTGCGTGCAAAGTTCCAATGCATTTCAAAGGATGATAAGTCTGCGCTTTTTCAGCATGGAACTTAAAATGTTTATGGTGCTTTTGTCAAGTGGATTTTTAGTTTGAAAGAAGCGAAGTATATTAGTTTTTACTCACGGCATAATAAGAGGTATATTATTAAATATTTATGAATCTCCACGTATAATATTGAACGTTTGTAGAATTGAATAACGTATACTAGAGTCAAATTCGATACCGTTTCCAAGCAGACTAATAATTTAGCAGTTTAAATAAACTCACTTATTTGACCGCAGTTGATAAATGCAATCGAGTATTTAAGAGCCTAGGTAATTAGTATGTAAAAGTATGCATGAAACTCTGTGAAATGGATTCGATGGGAAGGCGTTTTAAATAGCTTCTGAATTGAGTTAATAAGTTGATTGCCAGCAATAATAAGTATGAATAAGAAAACATTGTTAATTGACTCAATTAAGCTACTAATAGACTCAATTAAGCTACTAGTGGACTCAATTTAACTGATAATTTACTCAATTAACATACGAATGGACTCTATTAAGTAAATAATTGACTCAATTAACTTACTAATGGGCTCAATTAAGCTATTAATTTACTCAATTGAACTTTTAATTGACTAATTGATTCAGTTATTCCACTAATTAACTAAAGATGGTAAAGTATGTTAATGGCAGCCAAATTTGCCAGGTTATAAGCAGAATATCTTTCTTTTATTTACAAACTTTTTTAATGATGAATGGTAAAGGATGTCTCTTTTTTCACGAATTTATGTATGTATGAATGTATATATCAGAGGAAGGTATATAGGGAGTCAGTATTGAATAAACATTAGCTATAACAAAGCAATTTATTTTCTATAATTGCAACATTTTTCCTCAATAAACGCTACCTACACTTTCGAAAATGGAAACGTTATTTTTTGAACACACCGTAATTCTATAGCTCAGTTATTACTTGTTTGACCTTATCTTGGATTGGAAGAACAAAAATGTTATTTAAATCATTAATTTTGAAACTAAGAGACTTATAAACGTATAAAGTTGTACCTAAGATCCTAACATGAATATGAAGAAACATTTTCTAAAAAAAAAGCATTTTTAATACTGTACGTATTTTTATACTCTCGCAACTTTTTGCTACAGAATATAATAGGTTTGTTCACCTAACGGTTGTTTGTAATACCTAAAACTAATCGAGTTAGATATACGGTTATATATATATAAATGAAAAGGTTGAAGAGACGAGTTAAAATCCGGATGACTATCTGTCCGTCCGTCCGTCCGTCTGGGCAAGCTGTAACTAGAGTAAGAATTTAGATACCTTTATGAAACCTGGTACACATGTTTCTTGGTACCGTAAGACAGTTGGTATTGCAGACGGACGTAATCGGACCACTGCCACGCCCACAAAACGCCAGTTTAAAATTTTATTTAAAAGTGGGCGTGATCCCGCCCCCTAACTGAAGCTATAACAACAAAATTCACTGGGGACAAATGTTTTTAGCATC